GTTTTAGTAGACTAGTATTTTGTAAACTACAGTCACATTTCAATTATTATACATTATATATGTATACAGATTATTGCTATTTTGAAATAAGTTCTTAAACATATTTTCACTAAAACACAGAACAGTAAATAAAGAAGTAAAGCAAATAATTATCTCTTCTAGTTACAACCTTTGTACTCAGTTGCTGCTTGACATAGGTTGCTAAGCCTTTAAAAAATTTGCATGTAGAAGATATGAAACAAAAATTTTTTTAGGTTTTACATATACATTTGAATAACTAAAAAATCATAAATTACTACATCAATACCATGTAATTCAACTATAATTTATCAAGCTTAGTAACTAAGATGTATTTTACTCTTAAAAAAAGATGAAATTTTGAGCAGACTAAAGACACAACCTACCTCATCGAAATCTTGGTTCGAAAGAAAGAAATGGCACTAGCCATGTTAGAAAAGCTGAGAAAACCACTAGGTGGACATTCTGAGATTCTGATTGGTTATTCATGTCATATATAGAAGTAAGTGTATATAAAGAAGCATTTCCAAAAATTGAAAGAGGTGGGCAGGGTGCCACTGTGTTTGAATTATTACATGAGCAATATCTTAGCAAATAGAAAAGATAAGACCTTCTTATTTTATATTCTAGCTTGTATTTTGATTTCACAAACATCTAATTTAAACCAGTGCTGCATTTTTTAATATTTACATTTAAATTAACAAACTGAGTAATGTATAGTTCTAAAATTTGAATTATAATCTACAGTTTGATACCAAACTTATTGACAAATTCATGAAGTAGTAGTTTAATAAAATTTTGAATGTAAGTCAACAAACAAGATGACATGGCCTTTCACCTATGACCCATCTCGAAAGGATTAACTGTTTAGATTAGGATGATGGCAAAATAAACATCTATACATTATTACTGATGGCCTGACTTACTAAACAGTAGTGCTGAATCAAATACACTTTTAAGAGTGATGTAGAGCATACTATACAAGTTAAAATTATAATGATAAAAATAGTTTATTGTTATTGATATCACAATTCTTGTAAAAAAGAAATCTGTTCTCAAACCTTGGCCTGGCTCCATTAACAGATAATCATCTGGCATCTCTTCCTTGATGGGAGGTTCTGTATGTAAGCTTAGTTCTCCAGGAGGATGGATGTATCTTCTGAAGTACAGAAAACAGATCCATTTATACAAAATAAAGACCAATATACTTTGTGTCATATATATACAAGGAATTGACAGAAATAATGATGTAAAATGTGTACTCACCAAATAAAGAAATATGTCAGGGTGTTTAAAAAATATAATGCAGATAAAATATTCAACACATATTTTCTGTTCTAATACTTCATGGCCACTGAGAAGGGCAATATTGAGAGAGCTATGCTAAGCTTGGTTTAAACAGATTACATCATAAAAGTTGTTTGGTTTTAATAACAGATTTTCCATAATTCATCCAAATCCTGTCTGCAATATCACATCCAGAGGATGTGGATGGCCAAAGGCAAGAAAAGCTGTGAGATGACTAACTTTATAGTAGGTGACATGAAAAAGACAAAAGAAGTCAAAACTTCCATAAAGGAATTAATAAGCAGAATGAATTAGTTAACCCAATCAGTTAAGTAGAAGGATAAGTTATGAGAAAAGAGGAGTTGCATATAAATGGAGCAGTGCAAGTGAGAAAACAACAAATATCCTGAACAGTAAAAAGGAAATGATCAGGGTCTGAATGATCATATAGAGAAAGGAAGAGAAAATGACTGGAAAAAATATCCAGTCAGTCTCTTAAGCAGCACAAGTCTTGGGGAGGAAGAAATGGTATAAAAGTAACCTTTCCTTGTGGTACAGTGCAGGAGGCATTCAAGGCAAAAATATCAGAGTACTGCCTCCACAAGCAAGAAAAATACATGCCTTAAGAGAAATATGGTACATGAAACAGGTGGCCAAAGGTTTGAATGGAAGATACATAAGAGTCCTGTGAAATAAACAGAGGTTCCAGTACAGAAGAGGAACTGGACAAGTAATACAATTTAATAGAAAAGCTCAGAAGAGGTCCATAAAATAGGAGAATGGTAGGACAAAAACAGTAAGTTATCGACTAAGCTGCACTGTTACCAGATATCATACAAGTGAATAGACTATCTTCAAAAAGCCAGATGAGAAAGAAGCAAATGGACCTGCATCAATAAATCATCTACTTGTGATGATAAAAGGCAACGGTGAATGGCTGATAAGAGTGAGAAAAAAAATTGGCTACTCTGGGAGAAAACTCTGCCTGTCATACAACAGACCAAACAAAAGCCACATGTGAAGATGAAGATATGAAACTTCAGAGTAAAAGATGAACATACGAGGCTGATGTAAAAAGGGTCTTTGAAAATAGGAAAGATAGAGGCCTTACGAACACCAAGAGACAATGGAGTGAAAATCATCACTGAGCTGGCCAAAGAGAGGTAAGGGGCACTGTGATTTAAAGACAGTCACCTGGAAAGAGGATGGAGAAGAGGATAGGCATAAAGAAAGAAGGTGAACCCATCCATACTCAGATTAAATGACACTATAGCCATGGAGTCTGGGAATGATGACCAAAAAGTGGGAGTGTGGTTTAGAGAGAGTCACAAATGCATTGATAAAAGGACTTCCAAAGTGGGAAAAATCCCCAGAAACAGAAGATGTTAAGCTGATGGATTTTGTCAGGGTGATACAGCAAGTCCACCATTAAACTAAAAGCTCCCAGAACATGAAAGACCAACAGCCAGATTATGTTGTAATCCCAAAAGTATAGCTCAATAACAAGAAAGTAGAAGTCCCAAGAGCAAGTACCTTCCTGTTAGTTGATGTAAGAAATGAATGTGGAGTGGGAGAAATAGAAAAAAACAGGATGCCCAAATAGCTGCAACAAAATATGGAGGCAAGTCCATTAAACTGCCCATACTTCAAGGAAACAGTTGTTGAAAGACTGCTCCACAGGAGACCAAACACCAAAAATGGTGAAGGTATCCAGAACCACACCCCTTCTGACTAGATAGACATCTATTAAAAGGTGTAAGTCCAGAAAGGGTTTAGGAAGATGAATACTTAATTATGTGGATAAACCTAAGCCACCACAGTAGTGACAGGTAAATATATAGAGAAATAAGAAAAGACAAGGATTAAAGAATACAATCCACTGATGCCATAGTTCACTGAAGGGGACACATCCAGAAAAAAGAAGGAACAAGAGAACAGTGAAAGACCCCAAATGAGACAGAATCTCATACATAGAAGCTCCATATCTTAGAAATGTAAAGTAGAAGGTTGAGGCCACTCACTAAATGAGGGATAAATACTCCAGAATGAATCAAGTATTGAATGGGAGTCATTATACTTAGAAGCCTGACCTGTCAATTCAAAGGAGCAGAATCCTGATGGAAAAAGGAGGTTGTAGCAGATTATGACTCCCAGAACAAAAAGCTAGAAGATGTCTAATGTCCATAGAGTGGTGAAAATGCAGACCCAGTGAGTGCATTCTCAGTGTGTAAGTACTCAGGATTTTGAAAACAAACAGGTATGAGCTCTGAAAGACAAAGAAAACTCAGAGAGGAAACCTGTGTGACCCAAGGGTTTCTTCAAGTCCACAGGTGGACAAAGTGCAAAAGCCAAGCTCACAGAGGATCATAGCTGTCCAGAAACAGCCGATCACTGAACACTATGATAGATGGATCCTTGTGAAGGGGGGACACCAGAAAGGAAACACAAGACAAGGAACTTCCCTAAAAATGCCTGCAAGAATGGTGTAAAATGAAGTTTCCCAAGATAAACCTCCAGGAGTCTAATTCAAGGGATAGGAGCACTAGAAAAGAGGAAATCCCAAACACAAAACAAAGAGGAGAATCTTAACTTTAGGAAAAATATGGCAACAAAGAATCAACATGAATCAGAAATAGAAAAAATCCGCAATAATGCAACAAACAGACAAGGGAAAAACTGGGGAGGGGAATATTACGAGTTGAGGTGCACGAAAAGAAGCTGAACTGAGAACCAGTAGAAACAACTGAAGTAAAAGAAAAAATATCACAGACCTGATTTATCAAAAGCAGGATGCCATGAATCTTGGATCTGAGATGAAGAATGTACAACAGAACCAACCATGTGATGTGCAAACATGGTGACACTGTCAGAAAAACTCTAGTTTCAACATTTGAAGAAAATAAGACAACTTGTAGGGGAAAGAGTCTGGACCTTGGAAGGTTTCAGAAACATGGATATGAGGAATCATAATTAATACAATCTACAAAACTGAATCCATAGAAAGTATTAATATTACTATAATTTTTAGTACTAGTGATATGTCCAATGTAATTAGGCCTTGGTTATTTTCATTAATCATCCAAACCAGAACACTATGTTAATGATGATGGGTAGCAATCCTGTTAAATACACCACATAACAACACATGTCCCAAAATCACATAGTTTAGTAAAGAGAAGAAATCAAAGTAATGTAAGAAAAGAGAATAATTCATATCAGAATCTCTAAGTGAAATACATTTTAAAAATCTGTATCTTTCTTTATCAAATAAAAAATAATGAAGAGAAGAAAAATAACACTTTGAATGTTAACTAAAAGTAGAAAATACTAAATTCTTAATGAAAGAAAAAAAACATGCCTTAGCACTATATTGTTGTGGAAAAGAATTAATTTTTGATGTACACAAAGTGCTCAAGGGAAGATGTGTCATCCTCCTATTGGTTGAAGGGTACAGATGTCTAATGCTAATTGCATCTTAGAATGGCTCAGTAAATGTTATTACTTTAGGGATGGGAGTTTCATTCAAAGTCTTGACTTTTTGCAAATCATGCAGTTTATTAGTTATCTGTTCAATGTAGAGGTGATTAGTGTTTCCAAAAAAGTAGTTCTCTGTTGAAACCTAGTCTGTTAACAAGCCTACTTATAACTTTAACAAGCTCTGTATTTAATTATTGAATAATGTTTATATGCTAGTTCTCAGAGGACATGTTACAACTTCTTATTTTCAACAAGTAAATGACCTACCCAAAATGGAAATCGCTAGGACTCCCTTCACACTCATCTGTTGAGAGCCCACTACCAATGCTGTCTGTTGAACAAGCTCCTGTCAAACTGATAAAAAATTATATGCTTCAAAAAGTGAGAGTTAAAATAATTATCTTATGTCTAACACACAAAAACAACCAGTCTCAAATACATCAGATCAGGTTCATAAACTCATAGGTGTCAAATAAAGGGGGAACCAACAGGTCATTGTCCACCCGCTTTTAATGGCAAAAAGGAGAATTTTTTAATGTAACTTTAAACAATGTATGCTTAAAAATTGATTCAACTTTACGCATTTCTGTCTATGTATCTTCTAGCCCCCCAGTGGTAAAGCAGTATGTCTGCAGACTTGCAACGCTAGATACCCGTGGTGGGCAGAGCACAGATAGCCCTTGTGCATAATTATAGACAAATGTATCTTCTATTGAAAAATTGTCTCCACACAAGCAGGAAATTTAGTTATTTCCACAATCTGATTAAATATTTCAACAGAGACTAAAAATTGGTAATTAAGGCTAAAGTTTGGATTTCTTTCATTATCTAATCCAAAAAATGCTAATAAAACTTGTATAAAAAATTTTGAATCTCAAAATTTCAGTTATAATTTTATTTTGGAAACAATTTATGAGGATATATCACACATAATTTTTTGTGGCTCAAACAGTAAGCTATCATGCAATGGCCTTTAATAAATAATTAAAATCAACATTTTATATTTACATAAAATTTGTAGTTTTTTTCCCATAAAATTATGTGTTGTGTTGCTTTTTACACATTCTTCTATAGCTGAATTATCCATTCTATTATTTCTTACATAACCTTTATGTTCCGATAATCTGAATTTTAAATTCCTTTTAGTTTGACCAATATAAAGACTCCCACATTTACATTATATTTTGTAAATCCCAGTTTTATGTTCTAATTCTATTTTATATTTAGTATTTCCTTAAACTTATTTATAGATTTAAAAATGGAATAAAAGTGTTGTTGCTTCTTAAAAGATTTGAATAATTGATCTGTTAATTCTAGAATATAAGCCAAACTTAAAGTTTCTTTTTTGGTATTTTTCATAAATGGATCTTAACATCTTTGCTAAATTTCTTAAATGTTCTACCTACTATATTTGGTTCAAATCTTCTGTCAACAGCTACACACTTAATTAGTTACATTCGATTTTAGTAGAACATGTAGAAACAACACAACACAATTTTAGCTGAACCTCACAATATAATACATTTAAATGTCAGAGAATCAATAGAAATGATAGAATTTAAAAACAAAATCAAAAAGAAATATCAAGTCAGTGCATTGATATTTGGTGTGATGTATTATAAAGGTTGACCAACAAATTATGTAGTCAGTTCATTGATATTTGGTGTGATGTATTATAAAGGTTGACCAACAAATTATGTAGTCAGTTCATTGATACTTGGTGTGATGTATTATAAAGGTTGACCAATGAGGACTAACAAATTATGTAGTCAGTTCATTGATATTTGGTGTGATGTATTATAAAGGTTGACCAACAAATTATGTAGTCAGTTCATTGATATTTGGTGTTATGTATTATAAAGATTTACCAACAAATTATGTAGTCAGTTCATTGATATTTGGTGTTATGTATTATAAAGGTTGACCAACAAATTATGTAGTCAGTTCATTGATATTTGGTGTGATGTATTATAAAGGTTTACCAACAAATTATGTAGTCAGTTCATTGATATTTGGTGTTATGTATTATAAAGGTTGACCAACGAATTATGTAGTCAGTTCATTGATACTTGGTGTTATGTATTATAAAGGTTGACCAATAAGTTATGTAGTCAGTTCATTGATACTTGGTGTTATGTATTATAAAGGTTGACCAATAAGTTATGTAGTCAGTTCATTGATATTTGGTGTTATGTATTATAAAGGTTTACCAACAAATTATGTAGTCAGTTCATTGATATTTGGTGTTATGTATTATAAAGGTTGACCAACAAATTATGTAAATAACAATGTAATATCACACGACATGGGAAAAAGTATAAATTATCGTTTCTTGTAAATAACTCCTGAAGATGACATAGAGAACATCAAAACTTGTACATGTAGAGTGTTTTTAACGTAGAAGCCATTGATGGCTGCAATAAAGTTTTTAAAATTGTGTAAATATAAAATGTTGATTTTAATTACTTAGGAAATTTTAAACACAACACAAGTGCCAATCATTCGTATTCATGCAAAGGATATCTGAGAATTGGTTCACATGTTTACTTAGGTAACAAAATTATTGTAGTTGGCTCCTTAGAAAATTTTCCCACTTTTTTCATTTGACTGACCACACACACACACACATACTTTTGTAGTCTTTCTGATGCCACTGCCTAAACTGCAATATTTAATTTTTTACAACCCAAGACCCAACCTTTTATCACAATAAGAAACTTGTCTTAAAGTGACACAAACAATATTTTGCTATCACAATGTAATTTTATCTGTTTATTAATATTGTTTAGAAGAGCATACATGAGCTAAAAAACAGCAATAACAGAAGAAAATAAAAATCAACTATTTAATATATTTCCCATAAACTTACCTTAAAAGAATTTATATATATTTTGAACTAAAATACTTAAAGGCTTTGAATTCTTTCACAAAAGCTTAAAGTTAATATAAATAGAAAATTATTCTTAATTTCATACACACTGGAATTATTATATTACTTTGTATATTCCAAGAGAGGGATAAACATTAAGTCCAGCAAGTTACCAACAATAACATGATACATACCCAATATTAACAATGCTGGGTGGAGAATAAGATACAGCCCGTGCATATGTACTTTGAGGGCGAAGGTTCTCTCCCCGATGGAGAGCCCAGCTTGGAGAAGAGTAGCATCCTCCAGACTGAGGACTAAAATCAAAATAAGTATAAAATTCTTTGTGCAGAAATGTTTTATCAGCTAAGAAAATATTCTGTTTCTGTTTTGAGTAACCGATAAAAAGAACATTTTCTGATGATCATTCCAAATTTAAGAGAATCTCATATTTTTTCTGATTTCTAGGATAATAAATCAAAACAAACAAAAATATCTATACATCCGATAGGAAACTTGAAATAAAGAAGAATACACTAAGTAATAACCTCATTAATGTCTAAAGTTTGAGTAACAACTGTTTTTATAGTTTGATGCTAACCAATATGAAGGCAAAATTTAGCTCTGCTGGTTTAATTAGGATGTGTATTATAGGACAAATACTAACCTATTACTAATCAAGTCACGTTGGCCTTCGCTACATGTTCGTGCTCGAGCTGGCATGCTATCACAGCGCTTTCTTATGGAAGGAAGCCCCGGTGTCCGTTCTAAGCTCATGCTTTGTACCTGGTAAGAAACTACACCTCCATGGCGACGAGATGAAATTGGTTTGCTGTTTTCACTGGTTGAGGCGCTCCTAGGTCGAGACATTGGTCCTAATTCATCCTTCGACCTTGAAAGTTTCATAGCCCTAACATGTATGTAAAAATATTAATAAAACATCTATTACAAATAACATTATTTTAAAACAAAATATCTTTGTGTCAAACTAAAGACATTGAATACATACACAGTAAAACAACACATTACTGTAGAAACATGTTCCATTATTTGTGTCAAACAAAGTTGTAAGTACTAGTAGAACTAGAGTAGATAGGACCACAGACTATACACTGTAAATACCGGTACAACTACAATAAATAGGACTACAGACTCTATCTTGTAAATACTAGTACTACTAAAGGAGATAGGACCATAGGGTTGAACTTGTAAACACCAGTTCAACTATATTAGATAGGACCACAGACTCTACTTTGTAAACACCAGTACAACTACACTAAATAGGACTACAGACTCTGTCTATCTTGTAAACACCAGTAAAACTAAAGTAGATAGGACCACAGACTCTATACATTGTACACACCAGTACACCTAGAGTAGAAAGGACTACAGACTGTTTGTCTTGTAAACACCAGTATAATTAGAGTAGATAGGAACACAGACTTTGTCTTGTAAACACCAGTACAACTAGAGTAGATAGGAACACAGAATTTATCTTGTAAACTCTAGTACAATTAGAGCAGATAGAAACACGGACTTTGTCTTGTAAACTCTAGTACAACTAAAGTGGACAGGAACACAGACTTTGTCTTGTAAACTCTAGTACAATAAGAGTAGATAGGAACACAGACTCTGTCTTGTAAACACCAGTACAACTAAAGTAGATAGGAACACAGACTATTTTGTAAACACTAGTACAACTAGAGTAGATAGGAACACAGACTATCTTGTAAACATTAGTACAACTAGAGTAGATAGGAACACAGACTATCTTGTAAACACTAGTACAATTAGAGTCGATAGGAACACAGACTTTGTCTTGTAAACTCTAGTACAATTAGAGTCGATAGGAACACAGACTTTGTCTTGTAAACTCTAGTACAATTAGAGTAGATAGGACCACAGACTCTGTCTTGTAAACACCAGTACAACTAAAGTAGATAGGAACATAGACTATTTTGTAAACACTAGTACAACTAGAGTAGATAGGAACACAGACTATCTTGTAAACACTAGTACAACTAAAGTAGATAGGAACACAGACTTTGTCTTGTAAACACCAGTACAACTAAAGTAGATAGGAACATAGACTATCTTGTAAACACTAGTACAACTAAAGTAGACAGGAACACAGACTCTGTCTTGTAAACACTAGTACAAATAGAGTACATATAATTACAGACTCATCTTGTAAACACCGGTACAACTAGAAGATATAGAACCATAAATGTACTCTATGTTGTAAGTACCAGTAAGACTGGAGTAGATAAGACCACAGAATATTTCTGTAGTCAACATTAGAAAGACTAGAATAGATAGGACTACAAACATCTCTGGATATGCACCTTTTCCTATGTTCTTGACATCAGCTATGTACATGTCTTATCATAACGATATATAACAAAATAGCTTGTTAAATTAAGGAAAAAAACTTCATGCTAATAGACCATTGATGTTTTAGTTAATTTTTGAATATACATTAGCTAAGTGCGCTCCTTACAAATTCTCATTAATGTTACAGGAAAGCTGTGCTAATTAGTTAATACAACACATTAATAGTGGAAATATCTATGGCATGTATTTAACAAGGCATATTAACACTGCAAAAAGCATTATTAGTTAACAATGAAGGAGTAAAGTTGTGTTAATTATTTAAAACAACACACTAAAAGTGAAGGAAGGCTATGTTAAATAGCTAACACTTAAAAAAATTTTTTCTTTGGTTATTTTCTTACCCCAGAATTGCTTCATGCATGTTTTGTGCTATGATTCTATCTTCAGACTGCATCCACAGCTCACCAGCTCCAGTCACTGCTGACCTCCCCACTTCCATGAAGAAGAAACAGTCAGAGTGGCCGCACCTCCGAATGCTCATGAGCTTAAAGATTAACTTCTTCCATTTACTTACACATCTCAAACTAACAACTCTGTAAGCATCAGACGTACATTTAAAACACGTTTTTAAACATGTGTTTCCCTTCACCAATTTTCTTACATAAAAGGACATAACACAGATGCTACAATACTAGCTGAGTTACAGATTACTGTATGCACAATAAATGTACTATAATAGCAAGTGCCATTTTACACATTCATACTTAATCTTGCTACACAAATTCAGATTATTTTACACTCTTATATTATTGAAAGGTAAAACATACTCCTTTACTCTCTACTGTGATAATATTGTACGATATAATGTACTGTTTTACTCTCTACTGTGATATTATTGTAAGATATAATGTACTGTTTTACTCTCTACTGTGATATTATTGTAAGATATAACAAAGTTTTACTCTCTACTGTGATATTATTAGAAGATATAACATAGTTTTACTCTCTACTGTGATATTATTGTAAGATATAATGTACTGTTTTACTCTCTACTGTGATAATATTGTAAGATATAATGTAGTTTTACTCTCTACTGTGATAATATTGTAAGATATAATGTACTGTTTTACTCTCTACTGTGATAATATTGTAAGATATAACATAGTTTACTCTCTACTGTGATAATATTGTAAGATATAATGTACTGTTTTACTCTCTACTGTGATAATATTGTAAGATATAAAGTATTATTTTACTCTCTACTGTGATAATACTGTACGATATAAAGTATTATTTTACTCTCCACTGTGATATTATTGTAAGATATAACATAGTTTTACTTTCTACTGTGATATTATTGTAAGATATAAGGTATTGTTTTACTCTCCACTGTGATATTATTGTAAGATATAATGTACTGTTTTACTCTCTAGTGTGATAATATTGTACGATATAACATAGTTTTACTCTCTACTGTGATAATATTGTAAGATATAAGGTATTGTTTTACTCTCCACTGTGATAATATTGTAAGATATAATGTACTGTTTTACTCTCTACTGTGATAATATTGTACGATATAAGGTATTATACTACTATTAATATGTAGGATGTGTTTCAACTCACTCTTAGAAATTTCTCTAGTGCAGTAATACAACTAAAATTTAATGTAGAAATCACTCTGAGTGAAGCTTTAAACATTGTTCAAATAAAAACTTAACTCTAAAACCCACCCACCCCAAAAAATACTCTGCATACAGATTAAACACTAAATACACTTACAGATAAAACTATATTGATTGATAAACAAGTGGTCTCTGTCATGTAGTAATATTCACCTTACATTTCCATGCTGAGCTGAAGAAAGATATCATTATATAATGTTCAACTGTAAACTTTGTATTAATTTTAATGATCACATAGTTAAATTATATCCTCTAATTATATAGATTTGGCTTACAGGAAACTCAAGAGTTTCATTATGATCACAATGAGTATTCATCTTGAACAAACTGAGAGAAGAAGTTGTCAGACAAAGCCGATGTTGTCCCGTTATCTTTCTGCTGCTTCCTAACCCTTTCGGCTTCACTGTAACCTGCCACACGTGTTCTGCAAAAAGAAAGTACTTGATCAACAGCATATCTTCAAGCCCGTCACTGGACAAAAATTTGAAACCATACCAACAATATTACCCAAAAGTGACCTTCATAGAATTTTCCTGAGTAAGGAATAAAAACTGTAAAGAAGTTATTTGTGTACAAAACAAGTTAAATGAGAAACTAAGAACACAAATATACACACTGTTGTTATACATGTACACACATTGTTGTTATGCATGTACAGACATTGTTGTTATACATGTACACACATTGTTGTTATACATGTACACACACACACACTGTTGTTATACAAGTACACATATACACTGTTGTTATACACATGTACACATATACACTGTTGTTATACACATGTACACATATACACTGTTGTTATACACATGTACACATATACACACACACATTGTTGTTATGCATGTATAGACATTGTTGTTATACATGTACACACACTGTTGTTATACATGTATACACACACACTGTTGTTGTACATATACACACACACACACTGTTGTTATACACATGTACACATATACACACTTGTTATACACATGTACACACACACACTGTTGTTATACACATGTACACACACACACTGTTGTTATACACATGTACACACACACACTGTTGTTATACAAGTACACACACACTGTTGTTATACACATGTAC